AAGTTATAGTTCCAGCATTTTATGATTAAATATTAGAAACAATAATACTACTCCGGTCCTAAATATAAACCCATTTTGTAGTGTAAATGTGTCTTATATTTAGAATCGGAAGTATTTTTTTGCCAGTGGAAAGAATAATATTTTTATACATATAACACTTGAATGCTTAGAAGTTATCACAAAGAGACCGAGAATTATTTAATTTATATTTTCCCACGTTCTAGGTCGTTATAAAACTAAAGCATAAAGATATATCCGACTGTTTCAATAATGCTCAAAGTCAATCATACTATCAACTTGACTCCATCATAAACATCAATTATGACATATATATAAAATAATAAATAAAATATTAGAGAAAGAATATTATCATTTCATTTTTCTTACGTTATTACTACTAAATATATCATACTAATCATTTACAGTTGACTTCGCTTTACATAATTGATAAAACGATAATAATTCGTCTAATAAGATATTTTATCAAATATGATAACTATATATCCCACTTTAAGTTCATAGAGGACCAAATTCATATTACCATGTACCACCCGTCACATATAGATGAAGTCCCAAATTCTAGCCTCAATATGTTTATGGGCATTTATATTAACATTAGGATATTGCATTGAAGCTTGAAAAACAACAGGATATTGGCTCGGCTATAACTTAAAGGGCATTGCCAGCTGACATCTTATTCAGGCCTACTCTTTTGTTTTTATTCAAGGAAAAAACCTGCTCTCCCCCTAGAGTTTTTGGTATGATAAACACGTAATTATATGAGACTTAATACTCAAAAACTAGTAGGACGACCCTTTAATTTTGGAAGAAATGTTATGTGTGAAAAGTGGACTATATCGTGCCTACTGGCAAACAAGCTAATATACTGATGATAATGGAAGGGATTTAATTGGATCCAACAAGAATTTAGTTACACAAGCTCATAAAAAGCAACTTGGAGCCCTAAATTAGGTGACCTATCACCAAACATTTCACACTTGGATATGATGAATCTGCTTCCTGAATACTGACAAACATGTCACACTCAAAGATCGTTATGTACCCACATATTCCATCCCAGAAAGAAAAATTTCAGAAGGTCACCAAATTGCCACGTATTGGGCAAAATGTCTGGCCATGGTTTTTCAATAGTATTCTTTGACCCATAAATCAATTAGTGTATATCAACTAATGAAATAATCAATTAATTGTAAATAAGTTAGCATATGTTTACCAAAATATCCTTAACGAGGACAAGTGAATAATGGCAAAGTACGTATGACCATTGAGTCTTATTGTATATATAATAAACTTAGATAATTGACTTTTGAAGAGTAAATGTCAATTCATTACTAAGTTCTTAGTGGATTTATCTAATTTGCTCTATGTTGATCATGTCTCTTTCTAAGTCAGCTAGTTCACCAGCTACGTACTGTGAACTTAGTTACCAAACCTTGCTTTTGGCGTCAGAAAGCTCCCTCCAGCTTATACAAATGAACGTGTAGTGGGGTATGGCATGATATATAGGGTATGGGAAAGCCTTGGACTAGTCTATTCTACTTCTTAAAATGCCCTTTCTTTACTTAAACCACAAGCAACACAGAATAATGCTACCTCTGATAGTTAGTTACGTCAACCCATATCCATTATAAGAGCCTGGTCTGACCCCTTCGAGGATGGATTCTTGTGATTTGATTAAAACAGTCCCCACACAAGATTATATTGGTGAGATTTAATTTACATCGGTGGGTTATGTCACAAATCTTTGGTCTCTTTGAATGAAAGCATGTCAAACTGGTAAGAGATACCAGACAACAAAAATGGTTAGCAGTGGATTGGTGAACAAGAAAGAACCATGTTTATTGAAATTATTAAGTTGGTGGAGTTTGTTATTGACATTTCATAGATTCTTGAGAATGAAACATATTAAAGTGATCACTCTCAAGTCGTTATTAATAATGTCAAAGAGTGGTGAAAAAATTGACAGATTAGCAGAAAATAATGCATTGTTTCCAAGTCAAATTTTGCAGGTGCCTTGTTTGCTTAAACCTTCCAATCTTTACTGATCAATTTTCAGTTTCGTTATTTGACTTGTCAATATTTTATTGGGCAGTTACAAGTAGGTACTTGTAAACTTAAGCTTAATTATTATCACTATTTTCTGTTCTATCCAGTGCTGCGTATAGGCCATCGATAGTGGTTGGTGGAGTTTCTGCCTCGCTGGTTCAGCAATATTTATTAAATTAATTTCGGGCCAAAAATATTTATTAAATTAGTAAAGAATATGTTGCAACATATGGTAATTTTTGCATCACAAAAATAGATAATAAACCTCCCACCACGTGCAGTTGATCAAAATATTTATATAACTTTCTTAATATATTGCAGTAAAGAGATAGCCTGATTTGTGTGATTCTTATCATTTTGGAAAAAAAGTAAGTACATTTTGGCCTCCTAAAAGTATCCCAAAATTTTTTTTTTAAAAAAGTGAATTTAGTTACTGCTTGAATTTTACCCTACTTGATGGACGGATGCAAGCCAAAAGCAATGATTATGGAGATTGCACGAGATTGAACAACAAACCCATAATATTGTCGTGGTTCTGAAGATGGGGCCTTGCTGAAGTTCACGCTCAGAGCTACATGCATTATGAGGTTTACTTTCTGTGAGAGTGCACATGTTATAACATATAATGCCTTTGAATTTCACACTAACAAGTTCTTCACATAGCCTGCATGTGGCCCTCCCTGTGAAAGGTCGAAAGTCGCTATAATCTGTTGCATCAAACTTTTATTTGCACTAATTCCCTGTTTTAAGGGATCCAATGTCTTGTCCTATTGGGGGCATAAGTGCCCAAAAATTCCACCTTTGGTTTTCTCTCTTGCTTTTAATCACTGATGATCTGTTTAGGGTGCTAATTTGTAAGCAAATTAAAGTGATTTTAATTTCTGTGGCATGCAATAATCTTCAGAGGTGGTTGAACTTATGATGTGATAAGCAGTGACATTATAATTGGCTGTGAAAATAATGCTGATAGTAACTAGAAATTATCCAAATGATCGTGGCTTTATATCCATAATTCCTTTGGAAACTATTAAGAACTCATCCGTGTCATAGTCATTCATTTAACAGAGGATAATGGAGGTGATGATCCTAACAATGGCACCTCACGTACAAAAAATATATTCTGCATGCGTACATTCCACTTAACAGAATCCAGCCAGATGGTTATCTCTTTCTTCAAAATGTGTGTCTTTAGATATATACAAATATATATGACTTTTGAGCATTCGTTTCTCCGTTTTCATATATGTGTATATGACTTTTGAGTAATCTTTTCTCTGCTTTCTTTCCTCTCCTTTCACACTTCAGAACACATGACACGCAAATTCTCCATTTTCTCCGACTTTATTTCCTTCCCCTTTCATTGTCTGTTTTAACTAGCCTGATTATCAGATACTCATCCTCACAACCACATCCTCGATAGCTTTTTCTTTTATCTCATAATATGCCTGGGTTTATACATTGACTTATTTGATTCTTGCTCAGAAGTTCTTTTACGGAACAAAGACAACCAACTAATAGTTGTCATATCAGTGTGACTTTGCCTAAAAAACTATTCACTTTATAGCAGCAAGTATTAGCTAGCTAAAGCATATGGCTACAGGCTACTTTTCAAGAGTGACAGAGAAACATTCAGGGCCACATCGTTGGTTGATTTGCAGCATATGGAGTAAAACTTCAACTCGAATCTTTACAAACTGGGAATGAATAATCACGGCACCAATCCTTGATGCAAAAAGCCAAATTAATCACAGCTGACATCCAGCTAGTGTTCCATTAAATTTGAAACTGGACTGTGCTTGATTATTTGATAGCCAACGCGTTTACATTCTTGTTTGCTGTCTGATCAACAAAAGAAGTGTTACCAGGTCCCTGAATTTTCCGAGAGGATAGAAAGATGGGTTGTGCCAATCTGTCATGTGATTGAGGAAAGAAAACGTAAACAAACTAAGGGAGCTAGTAAAACTTTGGTTTTTTTTTTTTTTTTTTGGGAGGGGGTGTTCACACAAGAGTATTTCAAAGATGTTTGGCTTGCAATATAAGCAATCTTCCGAAATCCACATATGTAAGTATGTGATTCTGTTGAATAACAAAACTGCTTAATTAATACTCCTCCGGTCCTTAATATAAGACCCATTTAACCAATTTGATTCAATTAAAAAAGTTAGGTAAGTTAGTTAATTATAAGAAATGTGACACTTTTTTCTTAAAATACCATAAACATCTTTTTTAATACCCCATCTTCCTCTTCTACTTGATTATGGTTGAGAGAGTATCCATAGAGGTGATTTAGAGAAAATTGATAAATATGAGAAATGAGTTTTATATTTAGAACCAAAACCAACTCAACAATTAGGTCCTATATTAAGGACCGGAGGAGTAATATTCATAGAAAGTATCACTTCGTTGTGAATAATCTTAGGCCGGCTCTTATTCATGGGGGATACCTTGATCTTAATTCCCTAAAGATTATTCTACTGAACAAATGAGATGTTACTTCACGGCATCTTCCTCTGAAGTACATTGATGATGCAAAAACCGGGCACCGAACTTTTTCTCCTTTGTTTCACAGGCCTAGGAACTTGACAACAAACTTTACATGGGACCTTAAAAAGACAGGTACGTTACACTTTACAGTGACCAGATAGGGTAATAATCAAAAGTTACAGTAAACTACAGTTTCTACTTTCAACAACCTTTTTTGCCTTTTCACACGAACTTACAAGAAGGAAAGGAGTGTGCAGCAGGAAAGCTTCCCAAATCAATTCATAGCTGAAACTGGTTTCCAAGACAAACCCAAGGCTATCCACAATAATCAAAATCGCCGATAAAAGTAAGTGCAACTAAATTTCAAGCTACACAGAAAATTAAGAGAAAGTTGCAGCATTCCTGTCTTGAACACCCGCCGATTTTTTTGTTCTTTTAAAAATCATCAGCAGAAACGGCGGCTTCTTCCCTCGAAAAACGGCATGCCATATCTGTTCCAGATAACCGTCAACTACCGCAGTCTGTGACTGAATCCGATAATCCCCCTCTCTCGTAGCTGGAGTCTTTCAGTTTCAGGTCTAATCAAACCCTCAAATCCCCCTCTAGTTCTTACATTGAACCCCTTCATTTCCGATTTACATGAATATAGAGGTCTCGGATCCAATTTATTCGTCCCTGGATACGCCAAATTTGTTGGTCATGTAAATTCTAATGTTCTATGATATGATATGCTGCAGGAATACTGCGTGATTACATTGAAGCAGTGCCAGTAATCAACAATGTATGTATTTTCAGACCGATCAAAGTCATTACTGAAAGCTCAAACACCTGCATCAGAAATATCTTGCTTGAAAGTCACAGATTGAGAAGCTTGAATCTGCTTCATCCAAAATATTTGGTGGAAACAGGTAGACCACACACGAAATAGAAGAATTGAAATAAGCTTCTGAAAATGCTAAGATTTGTGCGGAGAATGAATCTGATCAAATCAAGGTAACTTGCCTGTTCCTTTTCAATAGGGGTCCGTAGGTTGCCTGTATACTTTCAGTTCTCGAGTCTTTTTCCTACGCACAAAAGGATATATCCACTTTCAGATGAAAATGACTTTTTTATATTTTATTTGACATATGATACTATCTATGGTTCTTGTAATAATCAAAATTTCAAAGCTTTTTTTTTTTGTACAAAATTTGAATTCTTTTGTCTCAATTTCTTTGTTTCATTTCTCCATTCAATTATTCAAGCTAATGGATGTGTCACCTTAAAAATTGAACACCCTTGTACCGTCCAAAAAAATGACAATAATATCCATGTTTCCTATAGTGCAGCCGTATCTTCGCGACCTGATTTACATTTTTTATTTTATTCTTGCACTTCTGTTATTGTGTTTTGTTGAGGTTAGATTTGCAGCTTCAATAAATTCACAAAAATGCCTTTTTAGCGCAATTTAATCTGCATTTTTTGCATCTTATCTATAAATTTCCAGTAGAGTATACTTTCTCAATTTTGCTTTCTAGATAGTTAACATCTTCAATTAATTGATTGAATTTTGGAAGCATGGTTATCATATTATCCTGGATATGTAATCTGTCGTTTAACCTTTTGCCTGCAATTTCTTAAGTTCCTTCACTCTGTCATTTGACCCCTCCTTCCTTCTGATCCCTTCCCTCCTTACATATGGCCTTTGAAGTCAAAACGTGATTCACTTGCTCAAGTCAATTCAATTTTACCGACCCTTAGAAGTGGAATCGTTTTCATGGAAGGTTCTGTAAAAATTTCAGGATTTACTGTGGAATGTTTGCAGGAAAATAATAGGAATGAACTTGAAAGAATTGAAAGAGAGACACAAGGTAGCCTGCATTTATCTGCTGTTTTCAGTATAGTTTGACATCAGACATGGCTATTTGTAATTCAGAGTAAATAATTGAAAACAATGCATTTCACTGGCTGTTGTGCATAGCAGAGAAGATGGCAGCTCTTGAGAGAAAGTTCGCCAGAATTCTGTCCATAAATTCCCTGTACTGTAGGACGTAGGCAGCATGCTCTGTATTGCCTTCTTTTTCATTTAACTTGGAGTTAGTGTAAACGGAAGTGGCTACTCTCCACTTCTTAGTGAGTGTAGGCATTGTGGCTTGTTTCCTATGTAAATATTGTTTTTTTTTTTTCCATCGTTTCTTTCTCCATTGGGGAATGTGTGGGGCAAAATATTGATTTAAAAAAAAAAAATAGAGGAATCAAGAAGCTTGGCAAGACGTAGTTTCCATAAAAAATGAAGTGTTAAAAGAGGAAACACTTGCCGCTATAAAACACAGCAGTATTTACAGACGCAAGCAATTCAAACAGGCCAAGTTGTAATAAAATATGAATGAAAGAATAATGACAGTCCTACTGAGCACAAAAAAGAAGTAATTTAAAGGCTAATTTCCTCCTACAACAATGCTCCTAATCACTGGTTGAACTGGTTGGTCTCTCTGGTCTAATCTCTTCTAATTGGTGTAGTACTTGCTGAACTTCTGGTCGTGCTGATGGAGAAGGATCAACACAGTGCAAAGCAAGCTTCAGTGTGTTCAACAACTCATCACCAATGGTAGATGCATCTCTCATGAGCTCCACGTCGAATACCTCATTCGTCCATTCTTCCTTCACAATGGAGGCAACCCATTGAGGCAAATCCACCCCATTCATGGCCTCACCTGGTGACTTCCCTGTTAGGAGTTCCAACAAGATCACACCCAGGCTGTACACATCAGTTTTTGTGTTTGCTTTCTTCAGCTTTGAGAGCTCCGGCGCTCGGTAGCCTAAGGCTCCGGCTGCCGCAACGACGTTAGAACTAGCGGCGGTTGTCATTAACCTAGAAAGACCAAAATCTGCTATTTTAGCATTTGTGTTTTGGTCCAGCAGGACGTTGCTGGATGTCAGATTCCCATGTATGATATTCTCATGGGAATGAAGGTAGAACAAGCCACGAGCCATGCCTTGCGCTATTCTCATCCTTGTTGGCCAATCAATGGCTGTTTCTGGCCCACGAGCTGCAACATAATAATGAAAATATATGAATCAATAAAGTTTCAAACTTTCCAAATATATGAAGCTGATTGGATTTTGAACTCACCGTGCAGGAAAGCAGCAAGACTTCCTCTGGGCATATAATCGAAAACCAGAAGCTTTTCCCCCTTGGGTCCCAGATAATATGCCCTCAGTGCCAAAAGATTTGGGTGACGAATTTTCCCAAGAATGTTAACCTCAGATTCAAATTCTCTCTGGCCTTTGGTGATCTTTTCTCTCAGTCTCTTCACTGCAACCTCACTTCCATCCTCCAAGGTGGCTTTGTACACTGTTCCGTAGGTGCTCTTTCCCATTATCTCTGCGGTTGCACACAAAAGATCATCGGCTGTAAAGGCTGTGGGGCCGTCAAAATGGACTAGTTTCCCTCCAGCCTCACCGCCGGCCTCGGCTTCACCGGCAGCTGCAGCTGCTGCTGCTGCTGCAGCAACTCCTTTTCCGGTTCCAGAAGTGCCAGCACTTGCCTTTTTCTCTGCTTTCGATGCTGCTCTTCTTCTGATCAAGAAGAAGATCAGGATTCCACATATTATTACGAGGAGTACGAGGAGAGCCCCTGCTGCTATCAGAATTATGTCTTTGATATGTAGTTTCCGACGATGATGGTGTTTCGATGCTTCAGAAGATGGAGCGGAGACAATCCCAGATGGTGCTGGAGAAGGACATGGGATTGAAGGGTCGTACCCACATAGTTGAATATTACCCAAAAATGAGCTCGAGTTAAATTTTTGGGCAAGTAAGGAGGGAACAGGACCAGAGAGGTTATTGTAAGAAACATTGAAGAAATTAAGGCTACGTAAATTGTTAAAGGAGGATGGGATTTCACCACTGAGATTATTCAGTGACAGATCAATCTGTTTAAGCGAGGAAACGTTGCCAACACTTTCAGGAATGTGACCATTAAGTTGATTTCCCCTCAAACTAAGAACAGAAAGATTACGTAATCTACCTAGAGATTCAGGGATTTGGTCATCAAGGTGGTTGTTCTCAACATTCAACACAGTAAGCGATGACAACTTAGAGAGACTAGCAGGCAAACTTCCGTTCAGGGCATTATTTGAAAAATCTAACGTTGTTAGTCTAGAAAGGCTCCCTATTTCATTTGGGATAACTCCGCTAAGCTGATTATGACTCAGAGAAATCTCTCTGAGTTCAGCTAAGCTGCCAAAAGAAGCAGGAATGGTTCCAGAGAATGAGTTATGGTCTAGGATCAAATTCTGAAGCCGAAAGAAATCATTTTTCAGAGCCCCGCCCCATGAGTTTGGGATGGGGCCAGAAAGATTATTGTGTTGGAGAGAAACGAAGGTGAGAGAAGGTGAGCGAGAGAGGGTAGCCGGTATTGAACCAGAGAAGGAATTGAAGCTCAAATTAAGCCAATAAAGCTTAGAAGAATTGAATAGGCTATCAGGGATTCTCCCTGTGAGTAAGTTATTACTTAGGTCTAAGGACTGAAGCAAAAGGCAAGAACCTAATGAAGGAGGGATGGACCCTTCTAGCCTATTGTTGAATAGCTGGACCCCTCTGAGATTAGGAAGGAGTCCCAATGAGGAAGGGATTGACCCACCAATTTGATTATCATGAAGACTAAGCTTTCGAAGGCCTTCAAGTTGGCCTATCCTCTCTGTGATGTGCCCTCTCAGTCCCTTCCACGGAAGCTGGATCACGATAACCTGACCCTGGGCACACTTGATTCCAACCCAACCTCCAGAACAAGTAGTGAAACCACTGTCATTCCAGCTTCGCAGGAAGCCTTTGGGATCAATCAGCTCTTGCTTGAACGCTTGAAGTGCCAAGAAATTTGATTCTGTGACGACCACCCCATCCCAACGATCTCCTTCACCCAAAACCGGCTTCACACGAATGGAGAGCAGAAGAATCCACAAACAAAAGAACCAGGGAAACCATTGAAACGGGCTTTGGGTTTTACGACTATTCTTCCACTTCTCTCTCTTCTTGTCCAAAATGTAGTGCCAATCTGCTGCATTTCTCATCCCAAGTTGCGAAACCTGAGAAGGGTTGTACTGGTGGAGAATATCGCTCTTCCCCATGATCATAAGGAAGAGCGAAACAATCAGTAAGGATGTATAAACTAGAGCGGAATAAGAGAAAAAGGTAGGAACTTTGAAGGGAGAGTGGATTATTTGCTCTATAGCGACATTTGTGTTCACAGTGAATGAACAGAAGAGCTATGGGTCTGGACATAGAAGGAGGATTTTGTACCTAGGGAGTGAGTGAGCGGCGTTTTGAGCTCTGAGAATGGGCACGTGATAGTCATAAGGAGGAGGCGTGAGTGTGTCGGCGCGCGCTGGAGCGTGAGAGAGAGAGGGAGAGGGAGAGAGAGGGAGAATCTTTGTGGGCTGGACACAAATGTCAGGTGGGAGCAATAAGATTCAGAGGCTCTCCTTCTTACAAGCACTAACGGCTAGTTTTTTCTTTAAACAATGCAACAAGATTGAAGCACCTGTGGCCTTTTAATGCTGCCTCCTCACACCCCGAAGTCCCAACGGCTATGCCTTATCTGTTGTGTGGGTCCCGCCACACATCTTCCATCTGCAACATTCATGGTTGCTTCTTCTCAGTCTTCAGCCTCACTCCATTACAAAATGCCCCGAAACAACCAAGTCAGGCTCATGACGTGGCTTCCTCCCACTTGCTGCAAACTGCAAGCAGCATTCAATTTCAATTTATATTTTATAATACTCCACGAAGAAGAGCATGTTCATAATCGGACTTTAACCTCCAAAAGGGTTGGTCAATTTCATCATTTTTTAGCATTAAATGATGAGCTGGGTTTGGTAAAGTTCAACGGGGTCATGGTCCAATACATGTCAAAGCCGTCCCGAAAATCTGATAATGACTAAAGTCGTCTTCTTCATGTTAAAGGGACCATTTCGGTATTAGCACAAATGCTCAAAGATGTCATCAAATACGAACGGCTTGTCTAATTTTACGTCAATTTTGTTTTATTATTGGACATGAGGAATTTACGGCAATTTTTTTATCAGCAAAAAATATATTAGCAACTTTTATATTTTTATTAAGTTAATCACATTTTTAAGTTTTTTAATATAATAAATGCTAAAATCTGAACTTTCCTAAAGTTTTTTTTTTTTTTTGAGTGAAAGAAGGATTCAATAAATAGCAAGTATGTACAAGAGATAACAAAAAAGACGTTACAAAAGGGGCAGGACTAGCCTAAACGCATTGCATTACAAATATCCTTAGCTCTAGCAGTATGGTCGCTAAGGGCAATCACAACATTTACAAGACGGTGGGCTTGAGTGACTTCGTTGCAGAATATTTTGCGGTTTCTTGCCTCCCAAAGTTTCCAGCACAAGATTCCAAAAAAGATGCACCACGAAGAATTCGCACTTTTGGGTCTCAGATTTTTTTTCAGCCAGACATCGAAGGGACAATTGTAAAAGCTACTTTGAATATGGTTTGGTACTATAAGGTTCCAGCAGGAGGTGGCAAGCGGGCAGCGTCTTAAAACATGGTCAATATCCTCCGTGCCTTTGTTGCAGATTCCACACATATCCCTGTCGGTCATATGCCTTCTAACTCTCTCACTATTAGTGAGCAGTTTATTACTCATTACCAGCCATAAAAAGGTTCGGACCCGCTGGGCCCCTGGCCATTTCCAGACAAGGTCCCACTGCGGACTTGCGTCATTCCAATTGCTCCCCGTAATCAAATCGTAGCCTGAGGATACAGTATAGTCTTTCCTAGCCGTGTAGCCCCAGGTGCACTTATCTGCTACGTCAGCCATGGTCGACACTTGGATTTGTGCAATCTGCTGCAGAATGTTCTGTGGCAGTAAAGCTTCAAATTCATTCCATTTCCAGATTCCATTTTCATCAGTAAATTCGCATATTGGCATGTTAAGCTGATCCTCAGGGATTGGGGTATAGGAGAGATTCTTCAACGGTCCCAAATCTCCCACCCAATGATCTTTCCAGAACCGAACTTGCCTACCATCACCAACTTCCCATTTTAGGCCCCTCTCAAAATCTTCCCATAGTCTCATAATGCTTTTCCAGAGGTAGGAGCTATTCTTTGTGTTGCTAGAGTTCTGCCCCTGGTGGCTCCAACCATATTTGGCTTTCATGATTCTCACCCATAGAAGTTCAGGCTGTGCTATTAATTTATAGGCAAGCTTTAACAGGAAAGCAGAATTCTGGTGTTCAAGGTCCTTAATACCACAGCCACCACATCTGTTTGGTTGACACATTGTTTCCCACTTGACCAAATGGACTCTTTTTTGCTGCTCATTGGTGCCCCAAATGAAATTCTTAATTAGCGTTTGAATTCTGTTGCAACAGGCTTTAGGCAGGCGGGTGGTTTGCATGGCATACAGTGGTATTGTTGATAAAACCGACTGTGCTAGAGTGATACGTCCCGCCAATGCTAGCGTTTTATTTTTCCAGCCTGATAGTTTGCTCTGTATTTTCTCCTCGATGTAGTGATAGGTGTCCCATGTCACCCTCTTATGGAGTAAAGGTACCCCAAGATATTTGCCTAGGTCCTCTGTTTTTTGAAAGCCCAAAGCTTCACTGATGACATTTGCCTCTTGGGCAGTGACATTCTTCGAGAAATAAAGCTTTGTTTTGGCTTGGTTGACTCTTTGCCCAGATGAAGCACAAAACTCTTCAAGAATCTTGCTAATGGTCTGGAGCTGTTGTGCTTTTGTTGTGCTGAATAGGATGAGATCGTCAGCAAAGAATAGATGGGATAAGGGTGGTCCTCGTCTACCCAGTCTTATGGTTTGCCACCTACCTTCATCTACTTGCTTGCAGATAGCTTGTGATAGGCGCTCCATACAAAGTACAAAAATATAAGGGGAGAGTGGATCCCCTTGTCTGATGCCTCTTTGTGGAGTAATAAGGTCAGATGGCTTCCCATTCCAGAGCACTTGCATGGAAGAAGTGGTGATGCATTTCATAATCAGGTTAATCATTTGATTAGGCAATCGAGCTTCCTTGAGAGTGTCAGCTATAAAATCCCACCGAACTCTATCAAATGCCTTTTCCAGATCTACTTTGATGGCCATCCAACCTGTCTTCCCGATTTTCCTTTTCATGGCATGAATAACCTCCTGGGCTATAATAATATTATCTGTGATGTTGCGTCCCTGTATGAAGCTTGATTGGAATGGCTGAGTTAAAAGAGGCATAACATGTTTGAGCCGATTTGCTATAATCTTTGTGATGAGTTTGTAGAATATGGTGCACAAGCTGATCGGTCTGAATTCTTTGATGGATTGGGGCTGGTCTACCTTAGGAATGAGGGCGATCAGAGTGCGATTGAAGTGGGCATCAATCTCACCTCCTTCAAATATAGCTTTCACCTCTTTATAAACAGAGTCACCAATGTTCTCCCATTGGGTTTGAAAGAATAGGGCATGTAATCCATCCACTCCCGGAGATTTTAGGGGCGCCATGTCAAACAAAGCTTGCTTAGTTTCAGTTTTGGTCACAGGACAGCTTATAGCAGAGATTAAAGAATCTGAGAGTACAGGGAACAGACCTGAGTAGCTGAATTCCGTTGGAGATGGCTCTTCAAGCAAATAGAGATTCTGAAAGTAGTTCGTTGCCAAGCTTTTTAATTGGTTCTGATCTGAGATCCAATCTCCTGAATCGTTCTTCAACATTGTGACTCTATTTTGACGCCTCCGGATTAGCGCTTTAATGTGGTAATAGTGAGTGTTCCTGTCCCCATCACAAATCCATTGACCCCTCGATTTTTGCAACCACAACAGTTCTTCTCTGATGCAGATGCTTTCATACTCAGAAATCAGAGTGCGCTCTTGCTCCAGCAGGTGTGCCGAGAAAGGATTATTCTCCAGCAGGCGCTGCACACTATTAATGCGGTGTTGCAAGGATCTCTTTTTTCTTCCCACCGAGCCAAAAACAACTTTATTCCAATCTTGGGCTGCTTTTTTGAATTGGTTGATATTATCCACCAAGCTTTTGCTATTGTCCCAATTACTTGTCATTAAGTTCTGGAAGTCGGGGTGGAGTAACCATGAAGCCAGGAAACGAAAGGTAGGCTCACTAGGCGGCTTGTCTCCTTCAGGCTTGATTAGCAAAGGCCGGTGGTCACTTTGGACCCTTGGGAGGTGCATTACAATCGCATTGGGCTAGTTTGAGATCCACTTTTGGTTGCTAAGAGCTCTATCCAGCCGGACGAATAAATTGCCTCTTTTCCATGTGAACCTTGGGCCAGTGTAACCCAGGTCCATTAAGCTTGCTGAATCTATGAATTCTTTAAAGGCTTTATTTCCCATACCAGCATGCCTTGTGCCTCCTCTTCGTTCTTCATTGGATCTGATGGCATTGAAGTCGCCTGCTAGCAGCCATGCCTCCTGATCCCCACTGTTTAACTGTAGCAATTCTCTCCATAGGAGATTTCGAGATACTGGATTAGGACTACCATATATTGCTGTAAAGAGGAATGGTAGTCTCCCTTCTACGTCACAAATGCGAGAGTGTATGAATTGCTTGTGATTCACCAGGATTTGCACTTTCACCTGATCAATCCATAATAACCAAATACCACCGGAAAAGCCTTCTGACTCAACACGGTGTGAATTGGGGTAATTAAGTTTTTGAATGACTTTATCTGCCTTATATCCTGAAATTCTTGGTTCAACTAGAGCTATGATAGCCGGCTTGAAACCTTGAAGGAGAGATTTTAAAACTGTGTGGAACTTGTTCGACGCAGCCCCTTGACAATTCCACACAAATATAGATTGATTCATATTATGCTAAGAGAGTTATCGTTCCATGTCGGAACGGTCAGATACAGACTCTTCTTCAAATCCTGTTTCCACAGCTTCAAGAAAAGCCTCTTTTCATCAGCTTGGTTTGGGACCCCTAACGCCTCTGACAAGGCTTTGGTGAGTTCCTCTGATGGTGTCCCAATTTCCTCCTTTGATTTGGCCTTCACGTGTTTTATTTTGAAGCTGGGTTGCATTTTAATACCCATTTTGGTGGGCCTTTTATCTGGAGCCTTGGGTAGGGAGTTTTCCTTGCCCACTCCGATGGGTTTTTTAGACTGTGGCACGATGGGCCCAGTGGCGTCTTGGGCTTTGTCCTCCACTAAATTTAAAGGCTTACGTGGATCTACAAGAGAAATTACTGTGTGGTTAGCTGAGTTTAACTTTGTGGGAACTCTTATTTCTTGGTAAGCAGGACTGTCAAATATTGTATCTCTGGGGCTTTTCTGAATTGTAGACTTTGTAGGGCTCTGTTTCTTTTCTGGCTTCTTGGCTCTGGAAGGCGTTGACTTGTCCGCACTATCTTTTCTATGCTTTTCTCTCACCCTTTCAGAGGGAAGTTCAGTTGCCTTTCCCCTGTTAACTTCTTCTTTCGGGCTTTCCGCCTGCTCCTTGTCCATCCCATCTGATGTATTGAGGATATCATATCTGTTGCTGCTTTTTGGGGCTGAGTGTAGGCTACCTTCTGCACCATTCCTGTTACTTTTGGCATAGCGCCTCCCCCTAGTAGGAGCTTTCATCCACGCGCCAAATAATTGCTCTTCCCTTACTTGTGTTTCACGCGCCGACGAGCTAGAGGCGGTCGGGGGTTGTGCTACAGCAGCGGGAGTGTCTTCGGTCAAGTTCATACTAGACGTGGCTGCATTCTGGTGCTGGGCTTTGAGCGGACAAATGGTGTCTAGATGACCGTACCGACCACAATGGTAACATATCGTTGGGAGGCCTTCATATTCAACGAACTGGGTTATGCCGTCCAGTTTAATCATGGAGGTTAGCGGCTTCGTTAAGTCTATTTTGACTGCAAGCCTTGCGAATCTGGCTTTCTCGACAGTTTCTGTGTTGTAGTCAATACGCAATACCGTGCCAATGACTTCTCCAATTGCCCTGAGTATGCTTTTGTGATAATAATGGTAGGGGAGGCCTGGCAGTCGGACCCACCCATACACATGCTTTATTTCAAGGTTCATCGGCGAAAAGGATGGCTCCCAAGGATGGACTGTCAAATAGTGTCCTGAAACTACCCAAGGCCCACCAAGCATGGCATTATGATAGTCAGAATCTTTTTCAAATTTCACCATGTAACATCCTCCTTCCAGCTCAGATAGTTTGAATTTGCCAGTCGGCTTCCATAGACTAAGAATTTTAAGGTGTAGAAGGTCCTGACGAACGTACCTTCCCAGAACTTTAACTATGACTGCACGTTGCATGCTTTGTTCCATAAGCTCCTTAACTCGATGAGAGAATGTGATGGATGGTATGTGGCCTTCCATCACAACAGAGATGTCTTCTGGATCAATGAGTAAATCCTCACTTGCTCTGTTCGATTCAGGTTCATCATTAGGTTGTTTATTCAACAGCTTATCCTTGAATGACGCTGGGGCCATTTTGGGGAGGTTTTCTGGGAGGGTGCTTGAGTTGTCAGCTTCCATTGCATTGTTCTCGTCAACACCGGTGTCATTTTCCTGAAAGAGATGCTTTTGAATAGTTCCCCCTTCAGGGGTTTCCTCAGAGGCCACAACATTCTCTTCAGTTTCCATGCTTGATTCTTCGTTGCTGCTGTCCCTAAGCTTAACCTTTTTGGTTGTCCTGTTCTCCTCCGTGAGAGGAGATCTTTCACCTTTGTCCACAAGCTTGATGTTCAACGATTGCTCCATTATAGTTGTAGCCACCGTGCTCCGCCGTGAAAGTGGCGGAGCCTTCCTCTCACTCTTCCTGCCGCAGTGGGCAGCGGTGCGCTTACACGAAAATCAAGCGACAGCTTCTCTCTCTAAGTCTCTCTCTTTAGTGATTTCATCTCTAGATTAACATTTCCTAAAGTTTAATTCTGGACATCTTCGACTCTCAGTTGCTTACACACTTCTCAAGCTATTTGACGGTTCTAACCTTTGAGCATTTACTAGATATCACAGATATAGCTGGTATTGTGAAAATTTCTCTTCTGAAATACTATCTTAGTATTGAAGTTAAATTTAATCTAAATATACAATCTCAATCTATTTTATCTTTCATGTTTAACGTTTTTTCCAAATTAATTTATCAATTTTACATATTAATATATATAATCTAATAATATACGGGACTTATTATAATTAATTACTTTTGCCCCAAATATCAAGAAGGCATGTGAACGAAAGTATCAATAGCGTTCTCATCCATCCTTCAATGACTTAGTGGACCAAAGCAGTACATTCATTAGAGCCGAAATTAGAAACCAATGTGCCATAATGGGGGATTGCCAAGTGAAAGATGGGACACAAAACCATAATATGACCCATCAGTCTTATATCAAGTAATTATCAGCCCCGTAAAGCCAAGTGAAAGTGTCGCGAAAATAAATCGAAAGGAAAGACACATTAGGTGCAAGAGAGTGTTAACGCAAAATTGAAGCACGTTGAAGGAAGGGTCCAACCAATTATTCCAAACGAGCTCATAAAGAACTCATCACCAATTCAGTCTCCTTGAGCAGAGTTCTTGACTGCTTTGACTGCATTATTGAAATATGCAGATTCAGTATTCTACACAATCCAGTCGCAACCAGACTTTTGGACAAATCTAATGAGAAGGGAATCGCTTCTGTTCACGTCCTTGCCAGAAAACCTGCTCACAGAAGTGGCTACAACCTCTTGTAGCGGCAGCAAATCATATACTACTTGAATTATTGAAGTCAAATACGCAGCAAGTATTCTTTCAACTTTCAGTACACACGCTCACAACCTTTGGCCATACGTGCTGTTAATAACTTGAATCATTGTGTGGTAAAAACTTCCGCAAATTAAGTATTCTTTTTCTGCACAAGGAATACGTGTTAACCAGTTAAAATTTCCCCCCATCTCTTCACACTTTATATTTTCCTTATAGCAACCCATTTCCATGAATGTCAGCACAAGAAGCTTCAGAAGAAAGAAGACAGTTACCCTCCAGGTGGGCCCGAAGGCCTGCATGCTTGGTCATATTTCGAGATAGAACTTCCGAAGTCATTGCTGACAAAGTCCAAACCAAACAAAAATAAGTATTTCATAGTATGAAAGTGTCCATCTTATCTTATTTGTTTTGAATGTGCCCGTTGTGACCATCTTGGTGAGGAATGTCCACTAAGGAAGTGAAAAGGCAGATCAAAGCGAAAACGCCAGCCCGTTCTGCTAAGTCACGACCAGTCAAGCTGATCATATCTTCTAAAAATATCAGTGACTCCATGCAAGAATAAGTTTCAAGCACAAGGTTCGTTAGAACCAGCAATCTTATTTTGGTGGCATGCCTCTTCAAGGCAAATTCTACAGACGTACATATACTTTCTGGTGGAAGAAAACAGAAAGCATCTTGCTGAATGGAAGATCGGCTACATTTTCATGACTCGAAGAATCACAATTATTTCTTCAATCCTTACTTATGCCATGCGGTCAATAGGGTTACTCATGATAATTGTACTGCCATGTAAAGAACTAAGAAATTTCATTTGGAGCCACCAAGATAAGTTCAGAAAACCCTACTTGATCGGCAGAAGCAACAAAGCATGATCTATCATCCTAAAAGTTGTGCCAGCTTGGGTATTAGCTATCAAACGAATTGCCACGGAATGACACCTTGATGAAAATTGGACCCCGTACTCGAGTTCTTTAAGGCAACTGTATTAAGGGGAGCAATTGGAAAAGGTCTTCAATAATGGAGTCCCTAAACCCCTGTATAAATAAATGAAAGGTAGCTGTCACATGCACTACATTCTTCCAATCCCTCATCTGAAAGAGTACAATTCCTCCCTTGGGTAAAATTCATAAACAGGCATGGGAAGCCTCTTCGTTTCCTCAAGTCTACGGAAGCTTAAGTGATGATGTCATACTATAACAGCACAGCCCAAAAAAGTTGCAATTTTTTCCTCACCAATTTGTACCCCAAAATATCCTACCTATCTTACAAGCAACATAAGGCTTGAGTGCTGCATAAATTTCATGGGAAAAAAGAACTTGCAGAGTGGAAAAATACTTTTGAAACAGCAAAAGTAGAGTCCGCATTGCAGGAAGTTATTTTAAATCGTTGAAACGCTGTCTTGTTCATTAGTCTTACATTAGCAAAGGCTACATAATTCAACAACCGACAGAACCTAAAAATTCCAGTTGATTACCGATTATTACCTACAACGGTTTCTTTAGTAAACATTATGTTCAAGTTTAACAACATGAAAATTCACACGTATGCATTAAATTCAAAGTATGCAATTAGAGGAGAACTTCCACGTCCATCCCTTTCTCTAAAGCTGCATTCAGTACATGGAAAAGGGACTCGAGGAAAGGGAAACCGCGTGAGGAAAGAAGTATAAGAGAAAGTATTGGTAAGGAGCAAAGTGAACTCCTTATAAGAGAGTTTCCAGGTTTATGGTGGAAAGCCCATTCTCATTCCCTTTCCCATTCCCATTTTATACCAAATGCACCTAAAGAGAAACCAAAAGAGCATAAAGACAACAGACAAACAGACGCTGAAACAAACAATCTCAAACGAAATTGTGACAACAAAACAAATGAAGCATCCTGAACAAACAATCAGGGAAATGAATGAAGACATATTGATAGCGAAGGTGACAATTATAATCAGAGGCAAAATTGGAATCTAAACTACATAGATCGAAAGCATATTTTGCTACTGATAAAATGGCGTAAAGTAATTCAATCTGCAAAAGTTTTCATCTACGTATACCAGGGAAAAGACAATATCCTAAGCAATTTGCTTTGGATCATACAAATGAGCAAAAAAAATGTCCTCCTATGAATAAG